AGGTTGCAACCTTAAACAATCCAATTAAGGCGCACCTCCAAATTTTATCAGAACAGGCAATTTTGGAGTAAAATGTTTTTAGGATTATCTGAAAATCTATTTTGATATCTAATTTTAAAATTTTAAACTCCAAAAATGGTTAAAATCAAGTAGATCCATAAACATATGAAAAACTTGAAAATAGACGGTCTAAGATAATATGTTGCAAGATGCACTATTTCTGAGACTCAAAAATCTTTTTTTCTTTTTCTTTTTTTCATATTCATATATCTTGATGTCAAGATGATCTAAATTAAGAGGGTTTTTTTAACATTAAAACAAATTTTTCCGATAGATTTTTGAGGTGTATCTATACCTTATATAAAGTTTTTTCATATATATATATATTCTAAGAGCCATACAAAACAGTTGCGAGCCTGACAGCCCAAATTGAACCATCAGATTGTCCATTAATGACAAGTCTTGTTTTTTGTTGTGGTCATAGCTTTTAAATATTTTTCTTTTATGCCCCTACATACTGCACACCTTTACCCAAATTTCATCTCAAAAAGATTTATAAAAAAAAACCAAAAATAAAATAAGTGTGCATAAATTAGACGTTGAATGGGCTTAGATCGATTATGAGAAACTCATAAACAAATTTCAATATGTGTGTGTAAACAAGACTCCAACATTTCTCATGGAAAAATTTACCATAAACCAATGGGATGCAGATCCGTTATCCATTCACAATGACGGATAAAGCGATTAAATGATCTGGGGATATATGAAACTGGAAAGAGAAAGACACATGAATGCAAGAAACCATTCACTCGAGAAAAAAATAGGGTACAAGAGAATCTGATCTATATGGAGAGATTTCACTTTGGAGGATGGAGAGAGTTGTAGCTTTCACCATGCTCAGCAGAGAGGAAAAGAGAAAACGACTCTAGGGGCAAATGCCTAAGAGCAAAAGAAAGGGCGCCAAGAGAAGGTGACAGTATGCAAACCTCTCCAACTTGAGGGGGAGAGAGAGAGTAATGGGCATGCAAGCCAAGGTAGTCTGAGATGAACTTTCAAAATGAAAGTGAAATACCTTATGATCAGCCCCTGTTCCTTCTAGTTTGAGCTCAGTCAGAATCTGCTGTTGCCAGGGAGATGGAGAAGAAATATTGGCAGAGAATATTCCGGCAGCCAAACTTGCAGCATCCAAAAGACCACCATCATATTTGAGCTCCACAAAATCATATGGGTTCTTGGGTAACACAAATCCATAATCGAGCAGAAAAAGATCATTACTCAAACAACCATAGTTCAGTAACACTGGGGCATCTTGCTCCATTTGTGTCTCTGCCACAACCTGAACTCCAATTATCAGGTCATTATTAAATGAAACCTAGAGTAAAAAATAAAGAAAAGAAAAACGACATGTGAAAAACATTTTTTGATGAACCGAGGCATAAAAGAAAGAAATAAGAAAGAACATCAAACATAGTAAAAGAATAACTATTCAGATTATTTTGTATTTCAGTTAATTGTATTGATTAATTTAAGACCCCCAATTTCAACCTCCTTCCATTCAGAAACCCAATCTTGTTCTGATCCTACAAAACACCTGAAGGGGAATGGAAGAACAAATAATTCCCCATAACCTATCCCTAACCAACTCGCTACACATATAATATTCCTGAAAGTGTACTTCTCCTTCATACACCGCAAAATAACATAGCTTGTAAACACACCTTGGAAAGGAAATGATTTTCCCTAAGAGGAAAGAAGTGACGACCAAATGCCCATTAGACTAACCCCGTCACCCCGTCACTACCAATCATACTGAACATTTTGAGAAAGAAACTCCTGGAGATAAAGCAGTTCAACTTAAATGGCTCCCATGCCCTCTGACACATGAGATATATTTAAGCGAGGACAAACCGCAATGCTACAGGTAATTTTCCAAGAGAACTGTGTTGATAGATGCTTTCAACCTAGAAGTTAGGATTTGACGAAGCACTGAAACATCCTCAAACAAGGACCTTACATCACTCACACACTGTAGAGGACTTAAAACCAAATGGACTAGACATATTTTTCTAAAACTAACCCACATTATCCACATAAACAATATAAACAGAGCTTTATGGCAATCATGTACATTATCGAGATAATCAAGATGCCTAAACACTTGACCATATCCATATACTGAAGGTTCCTCAAAGGCAAGGGCAGGACAAACCTGGGCTCCATTGATATTTTATTGTATGGTGTTTGAACACGAGACTAACCGCTAGGTTGAAGAAAACCAAGGGGGGTGAAGGATAAGGCTTGTTATGATGGAAATCCAAAGGAAACTGTCAAAACAAGATATTTTGCTCCTACAAGAAAACTGAGCATCTCAATAGAGACACCAACTAAATCAAGGGTAAAATTTTACATCCACCACATCAAAGAATCTTATACATAGCTTTATTTAAAAAAAAAGAGACTTCAAGCATCACAACTTATAAAACATCACAGCCAAAAATTATTGTCCCATAATCATTTAATACCAAAACATTAATGGTTAGATAGCAATAATATCGCAGTAAAGAGAAAACGGAGCTTGCCTTAATTAAGAAATCATGTTCATTAGAGCCCTTTTCCTGAATGATTCTCGCATTTGGATGAAAGCTGTGGTTACACATATCTATAAGAGGCAGAAGCATAGGCATGTCTTCATGCACTCCATCTGTGAGCTCTTCTCCATGCAACCGGAATGCTCTAGAAGAAACTGCAGACATTGCCCAACCCAAGGAAGAGGCATTCACCTCTTGGCCTCCAAAAGGATGCTCTTCTGGTCCCACATCCTTCAAAATACTTTTCACTTGTTTCTCAAAGTCCAGAAGAAACCTACATCGCTTGTTCACCTGGAAAATTAAATTATTTAAAAATATGTAACAAAAATACCTGTGTGGAAAGTAGAAACTAAATGAAAAAAGAGAATAACCATATGCCGCATTAATACTTAACTTTGTGGTTAGGGAAGAAATTGAAATACCATGATTTACCCAAACAATACAAATAATAGTAGTAACACAAGCTAATCAATACAAATCCTTTTTCAGCTTAAGGCTAAAAATGGATATTTACCTGGTGAATGAGAGGAGCATATTGCAGATCTTTTATTCCCTCTCCAGAAAAGAAGATGGGAATGTTGAATGTTTCAGGCAAGTTGCTAATATACGGCCACCAAAATGAACCAACTTTTGCTCTTTCATGAAGAAGCTTCAACCCCAATCTCATCGCCCAAAGTTCCTCTGCCATATTCTCCCCACAAGGCAGCCAAATTCACTCCTCATTCAAAAATTCAGACTATGCCTAGGTCAAAAAATAGAAGCCATGACCCAAACATACCCAAGCAAGCTCAAGTCAAAGGGTCAATTCATTATCCTTCCAAATTAACAAAAGAAAAAGACATTAATGGTTTAAAGTGAAAGAAAACAAAGAACTAGGATTTGTTTGTGCAGTACTCTTGTTCCGAACTCTCTAAGTTTAAATGGCTAAGTAGGGATTACTTCTAACTATGGACTCACGGGTCCAAAATGCATAGAGTAAGTTTTCATGGTATCATCCTTCATGAATGCAAAAAAACAAGGAGTAATGAAAAAGAAAAGATTAAGTAAACATTTTGCATAACACTTGGTAAAGGTTCAATCCGTAGAATACCTTCATCCATGCACTTTCTTTCTTGATTTGCCAGCCGTTACAATTGATTTGTTTTGAAACACATGGGGATTGTTAGTGGTTTCTTTCCAAAAGAACTGTTGTCGTTACCTAGTTTGTTGCAATATTACATTTAAACAAAAAAAACTGAGATCATTTTCAAGTTTGTTTGCGATAATTTTATATCCAGCCCACCTCCTTATGGGCCAATACAAGCCTACCACCTTATTGACCACTTTAGACCAATACTAACCCATATGTTTGATGGCCTTTAGCTGCCATCCAACACTTCAATGTATTTTGGTACATCAATATAAATCCGACACTTCTGGAGAGAGAAGGTTCCTTCATCTTCTTCAATTTCTTCTTTGATAAATTTTCTTCTTCCTTCAATATTTTCATTATCTTCTTCTTTTCTTTGCTGAACCTTTGAAATAAGAGCTTCTGTGGGCCAAACCTTTTTTTATCTTCATCATCAAAGTTCGAGTCAGGTCTTATGTTAGAAGGAAAATCAGCATGGTGTCTGTCTCTAGCTCTCTTTAGGCGTGCAAAGGAAAGAGAGGTACAGTGTTTCACTGAGATTAGGTTGTATGCTGGAGGTATCCTCGTCGAAGCCCGATTTTACCTCGAGGAATCATGTACGGGGCATTGAATTCCTAAAGGATAGTAAGAGCATCTCGTGCCTCCAAGCCCAAGTCAGCTAAAGTTCTGTTAGTTTATATTGGGTTAGTTTAGAAGGTTGTTTTTTTTTGAAAGATGGAGCCTTTATCTTGTTGGATTTTTCCTTGCCGCTATCCTATTTTCTATTGCAGTTAAACTCTCCACCTTTGAGCTCAATGCTCTTTCATTTTGTTTTACGCAATTTCCTGATTTTTGTTTGTGCATGTTTGAGCTTATGATTTTTCTTCGAGCTTAATGCTTATTTCGTGTTGCCATTAACAGGTGGTAAACAGTTTTCGTTGACCTTAACAGTCTTATTTTGCTTTATGCAAATTCCCAACGGTTGATAATTTCCATTAATGTTAAGAACACTCGATTTTCTTTATGCAATCACAATAGTTTTCATTCAAAGGTGTAGCTAACCATTTTTGTTATCGTTCACAATTTGGGTTAACGACTTTTGATGCGATGAAACTCTTATATATTTGGGGCTTACTGCATTAGTTTTAAAGATAAAAGACCCAATTTTTGGTTTTCTAGGATCCAAAAAGTAAAATGTGCATGCCCACAATATGCATGCATGTGTTGGCTCCTAATGCTTCTTCTTACTTACAGGTAAAAATAATGTATTTCTGGCATTTCACTTGTGCACCTCAAATAAAATTAGCATATGAACCCTTTAAGAGTGTCATTTTGTTTGATTTTTGCCTCTTTCTCCATTCTGCTCTAATTTTATCGCGAAGACCCAAAGCTTCTACTATTCATTTATCAAAAGGATCTAAGTCGTAGATGGTATTTTCCTCAGCATTGCCTTCTAAAATCTAGTACTTGAAAATGGTGGTTAGGCCTTTAGTTATAGTTGTTGGAAACCCCTGCGATTCCGAATCACTTTAGGAAGTGAAATCATAGAATCACAAGTGGCCAGATGATTCCTACAATCGGAATCGTTGTTAGTACAATGCATATCACATGAAGCGGGACTCCCACCATTTGGGAATCACGCTCCAATCCAAAAGAAATGAGATTCCTAACTTGTTGGAATCACGGTCGCATCAACTCGAAGTCGAGATTCCGAACTTACGGGAATCACACACCAAACCCTTTGGTACCAAGCCAAAAATTATCAAAAAACGAATTCCCCAAGGAAAAAGATTTAAGGTTTTAAATTAACTATTAAGCAAGAATTCCTTAGTATGGGCCCCCATATATTGAGTACGCTTACCCAAGTCTCCCTTATTGGAATCGATGTCTTTGACAACCCTCCCCTAACATTGGAGTAGATATATTGAGTGCCCTTTATCACAGTTCTCCCCGAGTATTGGAAACAAGGTCGAGTACCCTTAACTAATATTTCTCATGTTGTGGATATAGATTCCAAGTATCTCTGATCGATATTCCTAAAACTCGAAAGTGAGGTCTCGCAATGGTTGAATCAGTCTTGTGTTCCTATAAATCACAAAATTTGGGTGAGATGGAATCTACAATCCAAAGACATTGGATCGAGATTCGGAAAATGGGGAATCATGATTCCTAACTTTCAGGAATTCTGATATGTGGTGATGAATCGTGATCCTGAACAGGAATCACTACCTAGGGTGAAAGATTCTGGTAATTATACCTTCAATATTGGAGTCTTGAGTGGATGAACCATGAACTTGATCATATATTTGTAAGCCTCCCTCTTACCACACACAATCTCTAAAGAATTATGTCTCAATATCCCTGTTTCAAGCACTCTAGAGAATGCTGAATTTTTATTATCAAACACATGGAGAAGCTCCCACATGCATCCTTCTAAGCATATAGTAAGGTGATAATTTTATCCCATGCATTTCATCAAATACATGGTAAGCGAAAAACATGTCTAATCATCCTTAACCTTAAATTAAGGGAACGATGTTACCCGATTTTCACATTGTTATCCCTCTCTCAATGTGATTCTCCAAAGCACAATAAGCTTACAATTGCAGTTATTTTGGTGGGTTAAATGGCGAACTGGTCGATCCATATCACGTTATCATCTCATGATGTGTCAAGAAATGTTAATGACAAGCTTGCTATTGTTTCAGTAATCCTCATTCATCCTTCCAGATTCTTCTTGAAACTTCATATGGACATTCCGCTCCATTGGGCTTTAGTTTCTAAAGTTACAAGAAGAAATCTTATTTGAACACCATGAAACCAAAATTTAGCTCTTATATCGTCAAAACCACTAGAAATGATCAAAACTTAGAAGACAAGAAAATGCTTAGAAGAAAACACTAAGCAAAAAGAAAAGCTAAATTCAAGGTATATGATAATTTATATAGTACATTGGGAACAAGAAAAAATGAAAAAGATGTCTTCAAATAAGCAAAAATGAGAGAGAAAAAGTATAGGAACCTAGACCATATTAAATGCATTAAGAGTGAGGATCAAAGGGTCTTGGTGAAGGATGAAGAGGGCAATGAGAGGTGGAGAGTTCATTTTCAAAAACTATTAAATGACGAACACAATGGGAACACAACGGTAGAAGGAACCATCGACATAAATGTGGGCGAAGGTCATAGATAAATTCGTAGGATTAGGCTATCGAAAGTGAAATAAGCTCTAAAGATGATGAAGATAAAAAAAGCTTTAGAACCCGATGGTATCCAGATAGAGGTTTGGAAGTGCATGGGAGAGATCGGCATTGCCTGGCTGACCAAGTTGTTCAATAAGGTGCTAAGAACAAAGAACATGTCAAACAAATGGAAGAAAAGTATTGTGGTACCTATTTACAAGAACAAATGAGACATACAGAATTGTACGAAATATCCTGGGATTAAATTTATTAGCCACACTATGAAGTTGTGGTAGAGAGTTTTGAGCAATGATTAAGGCATGAAATGCGTGTATCAGAAAACCTATTCAGTTTTGTGTCAAGAAGGTCAATAATTGAGGCTATTTCCTACTTAAGCAATTGATTGAGAAGTTCAGGGCGAAGGGAAAAGGCGTCCACATGGTCTTTATTGATCTCAATGTTTCAAAAAACGGTCCGCCCCGCACTTAGGCACCCTGAACCAAAACAATGCATGCTCAGACCCAGGCAGGCCCAACACGGGCGGATGTAACTGGGCGGGCGGGGTGCCTAGGTGGGCGCCCACGGACGTGGGCTTGTTTTTTTTTTTTTAAAGATACCCTAAAGGGAAAAGGAGGTAATTTTGACCCCAAAAATAGTTTAAATAGGTTATGGAGATTATTTTCAACCCTTAAAGTTAAAAGAACAATTTCATAAACCCTTAATGTCTTAGCTATACCTATTTCTGAGAATCAAAAGTATATTTTGTGGCTGGAAGAAGCTTTCTAAACTTTTTCACTGATTATGTAATATGGAGAGTTGGAGACTATTATTAATACATATCTTATTAAACTTTTAAATTTTGTATGGTTTGAATTTTGAAATTTTGAACAAGTTTATACTCAACATGCGATATGTCATATGTTTGTATATAAAAAATATGTTACAATACTACAACATTTTCAAATGCAATAAATTACAAAATTGACACAAATATATGTATATATTATATATATATTGAACTTGTACTACATGGCGCCCAAGGTTCTGAGTGGCCACCTGGGCGATGAGCGTCAGGCCGACCGCCTAGCATTTTTTGAAAACTTGATTGATTTAGAGAAATCTTATGATAGAGTACCTCGAGCTTTAATTTTATGGGTGCTAGAAAAAAAAGGAATCTCCAAATATTATATCGACTTGGTGAGAGATATGTATGAGGAAGCGTTAACTAGTGTGCGAACAACTAGAAGAGAGACAAGTGAGTTTTCAGTGACAGTAGGTCTAACTAGGCAACTAGATAAAAGACAATTATTTGTCTTAGTTATGCGCGACTTAACTAGGCACCTACAAGATGAGCTACCATGGTGTATGTGGTTTGCGGATGACATAGTTTTGATCGACGAGACCCAAAACGGCGTAACACAAAGTTAGAACTTTTGAGGGGTGCTCTATAATCTAAAGTTTTTAAAATTAGGTAGATTAAGACAGTGTATATGGAATGCAAGTTTAATAATAATAGGAGTAGAGATGAGGAAGTAGTTAAGATTGACGGCTAAGAAATATAAAAAACAACACACTTTCTATATCTTAGATCAATAAGTCAGGCAAATAGATGGATTGAGGAAGATGTTGCACATATAATTAAGCTAGGTGGGCAAAGTGGAGATATGCAACCAACGTTTTATGTGATCACCGAACACCAATGAAGCTGAAGGGGATGTTTTATAGGACAGCTGTGAGACCAACTTTGCTTTATGCGGTGGAATGATGGGTGGTCAAGAAACAACATACACATAGGATGAGTATAGTTGAGATAAAGATGTTGAGATGGATGAGTGGCAAGACAAGAAAGGATAGAATTAGAAATGAATGCATTCGAGAGAACTTAGTGTAGCTCCAATAAGCGATAAGATAAGATAAAGTAAACTTAGGTGGGATGGCCATGTGCAGCGCAAATCTAGTACAATGCCTATTAGGAGATGCGAGTTGGTTCAAGTGAAAGGCTCAAAAAGGGCAAGGGATAAGCTGTAGGCCCGAAAGGACATGGTTGTAAGGTAATAAAAGATATAGGCATATATGGCCTCCCTGAGGGTATGACCCTTGATAAAGCAAAATGGTGGACTAGGACGTGTAGCAGACCCCAAATAGTTGCCAAAAGGCTCTGATGATGATGATGATGATCTTTAAAACTAATGCCGTAAGCATCCAATATTAAAAGGTTCAGTTACAACAAGAACTGTTAATCAAACTATTAACCGCAACAAAAACTATTACTAAAATGTTAACGGCGACTACATGATTGCAAGAGGCAATATAGAGTTGTTTATAGCAACAGAAGTTGTAACACACAGAAAAATTAAGCTCAACGAAATAGCATCAAACTTGGACATGCACAGACACAAACCAAGGAATTCCATAAAGCAATAAGACATACATAAACCTTAAAGGAGGAAAGTTCCCTACTGATTCCTCAAGACAACATCGAGGTTTGGCAATATACAACCGAGCCTAGAAAAACATTGTAAAACTCCTTGGTATGAACCCCCAAAGAGAGGGCTAGAGACACAATCACCATGTTGATCTACCTTCAAAATGAGTCCATTTCAAAACTGATGAGCACAGCAAATGTTCAGCAAAGCGAGACCAAATAGCGGCAGAGATGTTCTTTCTTCAAAATCCAACAAAGTAAAAGAAGTAGAGATATTTATTACATTAGCAATCTCAGTCGCCTGATAAGGAGTAACAAAGTTCGTTGTCTTTATTATCTAATTGTACAATACAATTAACATGTAAACTAAAGTAATCATCTTTCACTAAGTTAAATAAGTAGAACCCAAAATGCCAAATAGTCATCACAAAACATCCAAAGATCAGAAGTAATTCAAAATCACATGTATTATTATATAATATCTGAAGTTCCAAACTCAAAAGACCAAACATTCATGAAATTTAAAATAAAAAAGATAATCATTACACTAAATGTCTCAACTCTCAACTCTCAATCAGATAAGTCATACGATGACCCATCATGTGCATCTCCCAGTCGAATATCTAATGTCGAGGCTATAGAGCCATCACCATCAGTGTCATATCACCCTTCCACTTATACTTTTCCTCCTTAGCCTCCTCTAAGTCAAAAAAAAAAAAACCCAAATTACCACGAATATTAGTACCCCTCTCCCTTACAAACCTACGCCTACTTACAACTTCAGATACATCTTCCTCATCATCATATATTTGAATTTCATCCAACAATTTCATTGTTTTCTTTTCTTTGTTTTGGTTTTCTGGATATGTAGATATGTCCTAATCTCTCTTCTAATCTCATCGATTCTTGAGGGTGTGGTCTAACATTTCTAATATTACCGACAAGATGTTCCTTTCACCAATAAACACACCCATATAAGTTTTCTGAAATAGAGTTCTAAAAACACTATTTGAATTTTTAGCGTAGCTAAGTTCCAAATATTTCAATGTTAAATCTTTGTTACTGGAAAAAGACAGACATTGTCCCAGAAAAAAGTATTAGCAAATGAATTTTACCGAAAAAGTCGATCCTACATTCTGAAATTCTGATACCAAACCCAGAACAATTCCCAAAATCCTTGTTTTCATCTCCTTAGCTCTTGAAATACTCGACCACTTGGTAAATCCTTGCCCAAAACCTTCAAAACAATGTGCAAAACAAACTCAACTGATCGCCCAAAGAATCCTTTTTTGTCTTTTCTTGAAAACTTCAAATTCACAAAAAATTTCTTGATTTCAATCTCTTGGTTTAATTCCCTTAGAACCATGTAAAAATGGCTCCAAGGACTTTTTGAGGGGTACATACTCCCCATACCCCTTTCCCCCCTTCTTGGGAGGTAAAATTACAAGACATGCCCCTATTCTTGGGTGTTTTCCACCCAAGAACAGTGGAGCACATATGCAGGCACCCTATGTGATTCACTAGTCTATGTGGGTTATGTGCTGCATATGCCATCACATCACCAAATCCTACACTAGTGTTCCGAACTACCTCAGGGCACATAATGCAATGATGCTAAAGTATATTGCGCTATGCACCTGCTTTTGATAACAACAACGTCCTGCAAAAAATTTATCTGGAGGTGGGTAAGTATTGGCAAACAGGTGGTTGGCTTGTTGGGGTGAGAATTGACCCAATCCGGATCCGAAACCTGGATTTTGAACCCTCTTCGGATCTGGGCATGGATCTGAAATCCGGATCTGGACCCAAAAGTCATGTCCAAATTGAAATCCGGATCGGATCAAGGTGCAGGTGGATCCGACCCTGAATCCAAATCCGGATCTAACCCAATTTTCGTTCAAATAGTACTTTTGTATTATATATATATATATAAATTTTTTTAATAGTATATATATAATCTAGATCTGGATCCGGATCCGGATCCGGATCTGATGTATACTATTCAAATCCAAATATGGATCCAGATCCAAATATCTAGGATCCGGTTTGGACCAGGATCCAATGTATACTATTCGGATTTGGATCTGGATCTGGTCGGATCCAGCCCCGATCCGACCCATTCTCAACCCTATTGCCTTGTATTGCCAACAAGGATCTGAGCTTGTTTGGGCCAACAAGGAGGTGGGCCGATATAAAATTACTCCAAACAAAGCTGGAAATCAATCAGTTTTAAAAATGAAGTAATCCTGAGAGACTGGTGAAGACATCCGTTGCTTTGAACATAAAACACTAACAATATGCGCATGAGCGCACACACAGAGTGAATGTTATTATGGAAAAATTTAAGCAAAGAATTTCGAATTCAGTAATAGAGAGCAGTTGGATAGGTTTTCTTTGTATGCACATGATAATCAGATAGTTAAGCACACATTTTAATGCACTTTCTTTTTTTAATTTGATGGATAACACTTTAATAGTTTTTCTGAGTATAATAATCACTTTCAGATAGTGAGCGAAAGTGTAAGAAAGCAAGGTTTCCAACTCAAGCAGTCAGAAGCATGAAGAGCAAAACAAACAGACTTTTACAAATGCCATCAATGGAATGCACCAGCCATTACCAGTTGAAATGAAGGAAGAAAAGACATAACAATCACATTCATATTCAGATAGTTATTCCATTTATGGCTGAGTTTGAACCCCCTTCTGTGTGTATGTGTGCGTACGAGAGAGAGAGTTCCTAGTTCTCTTCCCGTTAATGATAATTCGTTATCACAGATTCAGCATAACTTAAAATATACATCTAAATCTCCCAACCCAGGTCCCAATTTCACAATTGATTTGAGTGTCTCTAACACCAAAAACCCAAATTTCACACTTGAATAGTTCTCATAGATAATTCATTCAAATTATAGCTAAGGAAAATGCCACAAAAAGTATGGAGAGAGAGAGAGAGAGAGAAAGAATTACCAGGTACTTTCTGAGCTATCCTGAAGAGAGAAGCATCCCATTTCTGGCCAGAACCAGAAGAAGGAAAAGAGAGAGGAATGTGTTTAGGAAGAGAGATAAGGTCTGAACCAGCTTCTATATCTGAAGAGGCCATTAAGCAAAGACCTGAAGCTTCTCCATCAGCGATCCTCAAACCCTTGTGGACAAAACCCCCTTCCCTTACGACCCATGAAACGAGGTCGGGTGGGTTGGGAACCAGGCGTTTGGACATGGAAGCAGAGACAGCTGCGAACCCACGGAGCCAAAAGGGTTTCACTGGGCTCGAGCCCAGTAGGTCTCTTGCTGCCATCGCCACCATATGCGGGACTGAGGGCGTTGGCGACTCGGAGAGCACAGTGGTGATAACGAGAGATAGGCGTGTCACCTCGGGCGAAAGTATATGGGATTTTTGTTACGAAAGGGATCGTATATAATCCATTTATCAATGGGACAATGACGTCACAATTATTTCTAACCATCCGATGTTAAATCTAATATCTAAAAAACCTTATTTGAATTTTGAGCTTAACCACCTTGCGTAATAGTTTTATTACGATATTAGACCTTTTTAGTTATTTTTTGGGTACGGTTTGTATAGAGCCGAGGCTCTAAACAATCAAAATAGAGCACACCTTCAAATAGTATCAAGAAATGCGGTTTCAAAACTAAAAAACTTTGTGATAGATTTAAAGTATATTTCTATTTCTAATTATAAATTTTAAAGCTTTAAAAATAGTATTGATCGAGCAAATCTATGAAAACTTGAAAATTGACAGTCCAAAAATGCATTACAAAATGCGCTAACTTGAAATCCATTTTTTTTTCATGTCCATGCATTTTGATGTCGAGATGATCAATATGAGGATATTTGGCATCAAAACAACCTCTTCTGATAAAACTTTGAGGTGTGTTCTAATTTGATTGTTTAGGTCCTCGGCTTTATATAAAGTTTTGGAAAAATTGTTCATACCCAAGTTTGAACTTTCTAGGCAACCTCCTTCCAACAAAACTTTTCTTTGTAATTTTTACTCCAAATCATACTTTTCTAGCTAATACACCCCCAAGTCAAAAAAAAAAGAGGTAAAAAAAGATCAAAATGCCCTCCTTTTAGTTAAAATGCCTCTCTCTTTTCCAATCGTGGTCCTAGTCCGGCAACAGGATAGGCGGTCCAGTACTAGCTACACACGGTCTGGCACATCCAACATTCGGTCTGGCAATTTTTTCTCTATCTAGGTTGTCAGTCCGACAAAAGGAAATGCGGTCCGGCACTGGGTGCCCTTAGTCTGGCAAATTTTTTATGGGGCCCAGCAGTTGTTCTACATGGTCCGACACGTGTTCGATCCGACGTGTCTTTACCTCAGTCCCGCACATCTTTACATCGGTCCGACAATTGTTTACTACATTCTGGCAGTCAACATTTCGTTGCGTATTTTACGAGGATGTGACGCGAGCTTGTACGGACAAGGACATTTTGGTCTAACTAAATATAATTTTTTGATTTGAGAGGTAATTTGTTAGAAATATATTTTTTAAGGTAAAAGTTGCAAAAATAAAGTTGTTGGAAGGAGGTTGTGTAGATATTTCAAGGTTGGGGTATATGCGATTTTCCCTAAATTTCTTCTTCGTTTTAATTTTGACTCTGACCTTCCCAAATGTAGCTTCTTTTTAGTGTAAATTATTAATTTGCCTTTCTCCTTGTTAAAAATTCTATATATGTTCCAAACCTCTTCCTTTATTGATTTCTCTCTTGACTTTTTTGCTTGTGTTTTGTTCTTTTAAATGTTTTATTTGTTTTTGCCATGTAATTGAAGAAAGGTGAGGTTTTAATGATGCATAGGTGATATTTTTTGGAAAAATTTCGTATAAAACCCTAATTTGTCATATTATTTCATGGTAGACTTTTTCTCCGTTTTTTTTTTCAAGCGGCATAAAGAAACTACTAAAAATTTTACCGTATCCATTCGTCTCTTATCTCCCTCTTTTATCGACTTTTGATCATAAAAATTAGTCCCAATAAATCTTTTTATACCATTTCAACTTAATTTTTTTTGGGTGGAAAAGAGAAAATAGGGTTAAAAAATATTTTGGGTTGAAATGATATAAAAAGATTTGTTGGGGCTAATTTTTATGATCAAAAGTCAATAAAAGACGAAAATAAGAGATGACAGGTATCGTGAAATCCTTGGGACTTTCTTTATGCAAATAAAAATTAGCCCCAATAAATCTTTTTATACCATTTCAACTTAAAAAAAATTTTAATGGGTGGAAAGGAGAAAAGAGGGTTAAAAAAAAAATTGGGTTGAAATGTTATAAAAAGATTTGTTTGGGCTAATTTTTATGGTCAAAAGTTAATAAAAGACGAAAATAAGAGATGACAGGTACTGTGAACTCCTTGGAGCTTTCTTTATGCAAAAAAAAATGGAAAAGGGTCTACCATGAAATAATATGAGAAATTAAGGTTTTATACGAAATTTTCCCATATTTTTTGGCTGAAGAATGAAATCTTTGATTAAGCTTCAATGGTTCTTACTTCCTCCCTGCAGTACTAAAGACTCTCTTCTAAAAGTAAATGTCTTGTCCCTCTTGGAAGTGTTCATCACAAAATTTGGAGTTGTAGATGGATTCACCTGTACTCATTGCCTCAACCAAATGACAACCATGATACATGAAACCAGGAATCACATGATGAAATGTTAATCCCTTGTAATGCAAGAGCTTGCCAAAACAATGCACTTTCCACCATTGCATAAAACTCTGAATCTCTCAGCAATGCGAAGAACAGCATTCACATATGGTGCAACTAACAAGTGCACCACTGATTATCACGTCAAAGAAGGCCTCTCCTCTCTCTCTCTAACTGGTTCTCTCTCACTGCAAATTTCTTTCTTCTTCTTTTTTTTTGTTAATTGTGGCTGATGGCTCTTGATTAACTCAAGAGCCAAAACTATGTAACTGAAAAGCAGTATATTTGGGCATATTGGGGTCTAGATTGGTATTGCAGGAGCCCGAGCAAATTTCATAAGCCTACAAACAAAAAGAACCCAATGATCCCCAATCCAGGGGTCGGGTAATTGTTTCAAAAATCGGATAGTACCAAACTACTTCGAGTCAAACTGGCTGAGACAGTAGGGGTGTCAATGGGTTGGGTTCTAGGTCGGCTCAAACGCGGGTCTAGAAATTAAATGAATAAAAGGATAATTTTTATATTGTATAATATATTTTTTATATATTTTATACAA